CAAATCTTAGACCCTGCTTCCATCATAGCATGAGCTGGCCATTTCGCTAGGAGAGAAGTGTTTTGCTGCAGAGAGTTTAGGATACCCAGTCCCCCTTTTTTCCTTGGCGTTGCCACCACCTCCCATGCCACATTTGATAGGAACCCCTGTTCCTCTATGGCTTCAGGCTTCCAGAGGTACCTTGCTGCTGCAACCTTGATCCTCTTATACGCGTCTGCTCCCAACCCATATATAGTAAGTGGGAACCATAAAACTGAGAAGGTTGAGGAGGACAATACAAAGGCCCTTCCAAACAGGGAGAGGGGGGTACGACATTCCCAACCCGCAATGCTCGCCTGTGACGAACCACTTTCTGTACTGCGTGATTTTCTGCACAATGACAATGAGGGGTCCTGTGACGGGGATGGTTGGGCAGATTACGGGAGGTGGGCTCGGCGGGTAAATTGCATTGGTGTCCTCGCTTCTTTCTATTTCGCTTCGCTTCTTTCCTTTCGGATGTGATGAGCCAGGGCCGGAAAGTCCCCGGACGGACGGTTGGGCACGCGCGCCACGTCAGGCGCGATTAATAACGGTCGACCTAACTTCCTTCTTGTTTTGCTGTGAGCGGGAGGGAACGGGAATTTAGGCGCGATGATCACGCGGGAGCTTTTTTTTGTTTTCCTTCTTTTTGAATTTCCTTCCAACTGATGTGGAGCCGCTGAAGGCTCTCGGAATTTTGAATTTCCTTTTTGTTTCTCGGATATTGTCACTGTATCTTTCTTCTTCCCTCGCCTGCTTCCCACCCCCTTCGTCCTTTCTACGATGATCTAATTGCCCTTGAGTGTTGCATGCTCAGATCGATGCATGGAGAGTGGCTACGTCCCCCACGCCGCGGCCTGGCCATGCAGACGTAGGCACTTCCTCTCTTCTCTTCTTGTCCATCTGGGCTTAATCCTGCATCTTTCGCGCAGGCAAACACGCTATAAATCTGGCAAGCGCGATTAGTTTACGCTCTAAGAATTTCGAGGTTAGCGCGATCAGTGAGGGTCGGCTAACAAGCAAGTTGGAAGGTAAGTGAGTGTGAGAGTTGGGCGATCCGACGAGCTGGTGCCAAGTATGCGGGTTTGACGTGTAGGCCACGACGGACTGTGGCGCACGGGCGAACGTGACGGGTGTACGCGGACCAAGCGGGGTGACAACTCTGCGTGGATACGCGGCGACGGACTGCCGGTATCGTGGGTGTTGGCGCGGGGCGACGGACTGCCCGCACGAGAGCAGAGAGAGAGAGAGAGAGAGTGGTATGGGTGTGGGATAAGGCTTCTTTTTGTTGTTCCTTTCATTTCCTTTGTTCATCTATATAATTTTGAATTCTGATATGGTCGATCTCTTTATCACGGCCCTTCCTTTTTTAACTTCTCTTGTACATTGTCTCGGATTTTCCTCGTTGTCTTGCTCAGCATGTGTGCATGGAATGACTGTAGGTTCTCTTTTGTTAAGCAATCTTCTCGATCTGTTTTGCGATGCCTGTGTTGTCTCTGACCAGTGTTCGCCTGCATGAGCCATGTGATCAGGCCTGATTAGGAATGCTTTGAAGTCTAGCTGTCGATTATCCCCTCTTCCCTCCTTTTTGCGTCACATGTACATATGTATGGCATGTAGTGATTGGCAGGATATTTGCGCCTGAGGTTGTTCAACCAGCACGCGGAACCAATCAACTGTCCCTTACGTACACGCGTGCGTACGTTCGCGATCCCGAGAGGGCCGAGTCGCCACGTACGCACTCGTCCGTGTAAGTCAGCCTTAACCTCGTGCAAGGATGTGGGGGATACGGCGTACTAGACAGACATGGCTGCAAGATCTCCTTGCTGGGCGTCCGATTACGAGAATCTGAGGGACCCACAATATCTTGAGTATTGGGAAGACGAATAACTCAGACGGCGGGGAAATTTAAGAAATTTGGAATTCCCTTGCCTAACTGAAAATGATCGATTATGCGCAAGGGATTTTCACTATGCCATAGCGAGTGACCCCAGGTGCCCCGACTACCCGGAAACTTATAACTGGCAATATTTCATATCCCCCGGCTTCATCGTTATTACTACCAGCTTCCCTCCCTTCCATCTCCTCCTCCCATATCACCAACTCACAGTGGTACCGTGGAATGCCATAGCACGCTACTGGCCCAGCCCGCCTTGCGAGGGTTGTCGGTATCACCGGGGGCGCCGAGCTTCGGGAACTACCCGACAGGCTCGAGCCGAAGCTGAGCAGCGATTGCACAGCCTCTGCGCACGGGCCGCCTAGGCGGAACCCGAGGCCTGTTACGAGCGGCGCCAACAACTGGCCGAACCCCACGGCCGACCCCGAAGACGAGATCAGCGACGATGGTGATTCCTTTTGGCTTTAAGCGTTAAACCTGTTGGCAGGGGCAATTTTGTTTGAATTTTGTTGGAGAATGCAAGAGTGTTCAAATCTGTCGGTACGATGGTAGCAGCAAGTGCCCCGGATTTTTAACCTGAAATGCACTGCGCGCGCCATCTGCATTATGCTGCACTACATCAGCTACCTCCCTTCTGAGTATATCCCCTTTTTCAACTGTACCCTGGGAACTTGCCACAGGAGATCTCAGTTCCGAGCTGGGACTCCACCCCCACTTTCCAAAAATCCTTGGCACACCCCTTTTCGCACTTCCGGGCCCCCATCCCACTCTGATCAGGAAGTAGCGCTGGGCGTGAGGTTAGGGCGTCACACGCCACCACCCGATCTACCAAAATGTTGTCTTGTTCCCTTGCGCAATCAGAAAATGACACTTGACGACCAAGAAACCTGTCAGAAGCATTGGCTGGGATCCGGCGAAGGCCCCAATTAGCACAAAGCTCATAAGGGGGAGGAGAAAGAACCACGACTTATCCCAATTTATTGCGGCTTCAGACAACATACAATAATTATCTAATACTCTACGTAACTCGGCTATCCATAGAGTTTCCGCAAGCAATTGTCCACTATGACCCCCCCTTTCCAATGGAAGGCTGGGGAGAGGTGGAGACCCACTATTTCAGGGTTACATCTAATATTAGCTAATAAAACTTCCGTCTGTAAAACAAAAATGAGGGGGGCAAGGGAACAACCTTGCCTCAGTAAACGCCCGGTTAGAGAAAATTCTTCCGATTGCAGTCCATTAAACCACCAGTACTTGGGCGACACCTTAGCGTTAACGCTACGCGATTTCCGCGGCCGGCGGGCCGTCGATAAATCGAATCGACAGCCCGCGCTGCTTCGAGATTTGGGCGGCTGGCGCGGCGCGCAGTGCCCAAGTACTGGTGGTTTAACTAGTACTGATGCAGTTGCCTTGGAGTACATGGCCTTAACCCAGGTTCGAAATTGGTCACCAAACCCCATGTTAATAAGGGACGTGTTAACAAATTACATCCTGAAACGGAGCAACTCTGACAGCTGTCTTTTTTTTTTTTTTTTTTTTTTTGAAAAAGGACGACGGCCTTGAGATATCATCATTGAGGTGACCGGCCCCGGGCAATTCACAAATATCCGGGTTTACTCATCAAAATTCCATCATCTGGATTCGAACTCACGTGTGCATTTTATCAGTTCATGGGTGTACCCACTGAGCTAGGCTCTTGGGTAGCTGCTTTTTTTCCTTTCTCTCTCTTTTTTTTTTTTTTCGTGTGATCCGATGGACCACGGATCAGATATTAAACTGATAATCAGAACAGATACTACATTCGATCTTAGCCAAAAGGCGGAGAAACGTACAGGTGTCGTTTGGCTCTGTGGCATCAAACTTGTTTCCTTCTTTGGGCAATGAACGCATTTGGCCATCCAGGTTGTCCCTGTCCATTTAAAAAATGGTGACCTCCTGTCCCCTCGCAACGGGCAGTATCCCTTTTCCACAGAGACTTTCACTCCGACTGTGTGCCAGACGTGTTTCATTTCTCCGAGTTACGTTATCAAAAATAAGGAGAAAAGCTGTTTCTATCGTTTTGTTTCAGCTTTTTTTTCATTTCTTCAATTTTTTTGTTTTGTTTCGACTTTATTAATGTCGAAATAGTGCCACACGCGGTTGCGTTTTCTAAACTCAACTTGGGCGGTGGTGGGACTTCACCCCCGTGCTCAAACCTCCAACGAGCGAACATTCGGGAGCTGCACCCACCACCTGCTAGTTTTTTTTTTTTTTTTTTGAGGTATTATCATTGGATTGAATTCGTATTTGGCAGAGAAAAAAAAAAGAGTAGAAAGGAAAAGAACGTTCATGGGCCGTACCCACCGAGCGATCTCGTTGGTTTCTCTTATTATCTCTTCTGGTTTCTCTTATTATTCCGCTCAGTGATATGATTAAATTGGGCAGGTGCTGTCGTCCGGCCAAAATCGAAATTGTTGCGGCCAGACGATCGACTCATTGTTAGCAACTGTTCGTATGATGTCGTTTACGTTTATTTTTCCTTGTCCCTTTTTCAATTTACCCCCTGCCGGTCAACCTTTTGACAGTAGCACTAGCACTGGTAATCGTTTAAGCCTTCTGTCGACGAGCTGACATTATTCAGGCTCATTTTTGCAGCAGAACATTGTTCAGAGAAGAGAATATAGGTACTATTCCTGCACGTTCTCTGCGACAGACCCTGCTTCTGTTGCACAGAAACACGCACACGCACACACACACACACACACACACACGCACAACACACACACACACACACACACACACACACACACACACACACACACACACACACACACGTGCGCACACACAAAACACAACACACACACACACACACACACACACACACAGACACACGCGCACAATTCAACACATGCGCGCGATCGCGCGCGCGCGCGCGAGAGAGAGAGAGAGAGAGACACAGAGCGAGCGAGAGAGAGAGAGAGAGAGAGAGAGAGAGAGAGAGAGAGAGAGAGAGAGAGAGAGAGAGAGAGAGAGGGCTGGATGGGAGTTGTCAGAGCTGAGTTTGTTCATACGTAATTTTGCTAGTAATTTGTAAGAAGAGCAGAGATTTAAGTAGGCAGGAGTTGATTCAAGATGCAATAGCCGGGCCGAAGAATGAAGTTCGAGTGAGAGGGATGAGGACGACTCGCGGACACCGAGATCTGAGAGGTAGTCACTGTTGCGGAGGCACGGCAGATGCGCGGCTTTGACGGCGTTGAAGAGAAAGGGAGAGTTTTTTTGTGTGTCTTCGTGGCACGCCATTTGAGCTAGCGCCGTGTCCCAGCCCAGCTATGGCGGCGATGGTAGTGATGGCGGCGTCCCCTCGTTTGTGGATCGTTGTGGGATTGATAGCTTACATGTGGACCTTCTCCACGTGGACACGTGGCGTGGAGTGCGTTGTGCCGTCGTCATCGGGGGCCTCCTTGACCGCGACGCTGGAGCAGAGAGCGGCGGTTGCTGAGCAAACCCAGGCCTGGGCGCTGGGGCTCAGCAGCAAACATTCTTCCCTCTCGCCGGACATCGATCGGTCGCTCGAACGTGGGACTGTCACCCTCCCGCCTTGCAACGCCACCGTGACGAAGGCGGCGGTGGTTGGCAATGGGACGTACCGAACAGTTCAGGACGCCATCAACAATATCCCGACTAGTCGAGGCAATCGACGGTGGGTGATCTGCGTGCGCGCCGGCGTGTACGTGGAGAAGGTGAGACTGATGTCCTCAAACACCTACGTCACACTTGTCGGCGCCTCGCGCGATCCGAAGAAGGTCATAATCTCGTGGAACGACACGGCGGGCACTGCCGATCCTACCTCAACCACCGGCGGGACCTTGGGCACCTTTCGCTCCTACACATTCGCTGCGGAAGCGTCCTACTTCACGGCCATGTACATGACGTTCAGGAACACGGCGCCCAGACCTGTGGATGGGTCGCAGAACGGCCAAGCCGTGGCTCTGAGAGCCACGGGAGACTATATATCCTTCTTTAGGTGTGACTTTTGGGGGTACCAAGACACCCTGTATGCGCATCAGGGGATACAATTCTACAAGAATTGCAATGTGAGAGGATCGGTGGACTTCATTTTTGGCAATGCCACGGCGTGGTTTTACAAGTGCTACTTGTTCGCCGACGTCGTGACGAAGGGCTTCTTGACGGCGCAGAGTAGAGGGGCAGTGTCGCAGGGAACGGGGTTTGCGTTCTACGGGGGGAGTGTCAAGGGGACGGGAGTTGTGTACTTGGGTCGTGCGTGGGGGGTTGCCTCAAGGGTGGTGTTTTTCAAGACCTTCCTAGACAGCATCATCGCGCCCGCAGGATGGGACGACTGGGGCAAGCCCACCGACGCCATCTTCTATGCGGAGTACAAGTGCTCTGGACCGGGATCTGCCAGCTCTGGACGTGTGAATTGGTCCATCCAGCTGTCGGATGCGGAGGCGAGGATCTTCGGCTCCTGCGACTTCATTAGCGCTAAGCAATGGCAGGGCAGCTCCGGCCTGCCTTCGGCGGGATTGCCCTGCTAGCTCAGGTAAATAACATAGCTAGAATTTAACGTGGAGGTTCTCCACGGACTTGCAAACAGCGGAGCAGGAGTGTGTGTGTGTGTGTGTGTGTGTGTGTGTGTGTGTGTGTGTGTGTGTGTGTGTGTGTGTGTGCGTGTGTGTGTGTGTGTTTCGATACGTCGCCTGTGTTTTACTATGTGCGCCTTAAAACGCCGTCGGAAGAAATACGACTGAGGCGGACTGTTTCGTCGGACTCTCAGCGGTTTGTCAGGAGCTTTTGTGTGTGTGTGCGGTGCGCCCGCGCACACTCGTTACCGGGGGGAAGAGAGAGAGAGAGAGAGAGAGAGAGAGAGAGAGAGAGAGAGAGAGAGAGAGAGAGAGAGTCGTTGAAGCGTTGGTTTATTATAGTTTAATAGGCTGACAATTGAGTGGGACTTTTCGGCTGCGCGTTGTCCATGCTGCGTAGGAGGGGCCTGCGACTTTGGCCGCCTCTTGCAGGTTACTGATCCCTTTGCCTGCCTCTTGCTGGTGACCTCCTATCTCCCCTGGAGGCTTGCGTCCGCAGTCATTGGCAGGAGCGATCGTATCGAAACGCAGCAGCTGGTGATCTTCTTTTGACTCGTCAGAGGGAGAGAGCATGCGTTGGATGCCTCGGCCCTGAGCGGTGATGTGATCCAGTAGCCTTTAGTTTTTTTCGCTGTTTTTATGCTCTGGTTAATTAGTGCCCTCCCCTTCGATCTCCCCGTCCTTCTCGTCATTTTCTATGTTCTTTCCTCTCTCTCTCTGGCTCCTTGTTTCTGCAGTTTTCCTAGTACCCTTGCAAGTTGCAACACGTCAGTGTAACTGGTTGCACTCTAGTATTCTAGTATGTTTTGGAGGACGAATCTAGTGCAGGTAATCGTCCGCAATCCGATGAATTATCCGTCGAACTTTGTCATTTGGAAAGTTCTGTATTGAATGGCTCCAAAGTTTTGCAGGAAGGAAGCTAGGCGGTCGTCTGCGTGTTTTTAAGATTTTATTACAATAAGTCAACAAGTTAATGAGCGTGATATATAGTCCCCCGGTTTTATGAATCGCCCCTTTTTAGTGCAATGGGCGGAGTCATCCAATAATGTATCAGGAAGCTAGGTGGTCGTCTGCGTGTTTTAAGATTTTATTACTGCGGAGTCGTCCAATAATGTATCAGGAAGCTAGGTGGTCGTCTGCGTGTTTTAAGATTTTATTACAAATAAGTTAAGAAGTTAATGAGCGTGATATATAGCCTGTCTCTTATACACATCTAGATGTGTATAAGAGACAGGCAATGGGCGGAGTCATCCAATAATGTATCAGGAAGTTAGGTGGTCGTCTGCGTGTTTTAAGATTTTTTTCCAATAAGTTTTAATAAGTTAATGAGCGTGATATATAGCCCCCCGTTTTATGAATCGCCCCTTTTCAGTACAATGGGCTGAGTTCAAGTTATCGCCGAAATGTATATGGAGTCATAAGTGGTAGTTTGCCTGTTTGAAGATTTGATTACAATAAGTTAATTAGCGTGCTATATAGCCCCCCGTTTTACGAATCGCCCCTTTTTAGTATAATGGGGCCGGAGCTATCCACGAAATGCAGCAGGTTTAACAGGTTGTACTGATCGTCTGTGCCTGTTTTATGATTTTAACACAGTCTGTTTGTGTTACGTAGCCCATTTTGTGAATTGTCCTCTCCAACGTAGCCCGTTTTGTGAATTGCCCTCTCCGAGGCCTGTATTTTTCCGAGTTTGCAGGAAGGGTAAATGCGAAAATGGTCCTGTTCTGTTCTTATCACACAATAATGAGCGTGTTATATAGCCCCCCCCCCCCCCGTTTCATGAATCGCCCCCTTTTAGTGCAATGGGCTGAATAAGTCATCCACCGAAATGTACCAGTTCTTAAAGGTGGTGCTGATAATCTGCCTGTTTTATGATTTTAAAACAGGGCTTGTTTTTCTGTAGCCCGGTTTTTGAATTGCCCCCTCCAAGGTCTGTATTCTTTTTTTTTTTTTTTTTTTTTTTTTTTTTCTATGAACGTCTACAGGGAAGTATGTTGTCTTCTGCCTGTTTAAAGATTTTATTATGACAATGATGAGCGTGTTATATCCCCCCCCTCCCCGTTTTATGAATCGCCCCTTTTTTCCTGCGATGTATCAGGTTTAGAAGATACTTAGTCTGATAATCTGCCTGTTTTATGATCATTTTAAAACAGGGCCTGGGCCTGTTTGTATTATATAGCAGAGCCCCTTTTGTGAAATGCCCCTTTTTTTGCTTACTGCGACGAGCTGTGTCATCCGCGAAATGACAAAGCAGGGCTATAAGAATGACAAAGCGTTCGAAGTCTTGCATGAAACGAAATATAGTCGTCTCCTTAAAAATATATATATATATATATATAGTCGTCTCCCTGCTTTGTCATTTTTATAGCCCGCCGGCCTGTTTCATATCGTTTTGTCGTTGTTTCGTCTATTTTTAAGAGAAGGGTGACGGGCTTGAGGTGTCATATCATTGAACGGACCGGCCCCAGGTAATTCAGAAAGATTTTCCTGCAGTAAAAAAAAAAAAAAAAAAAACAGATTTTCCTGCTTGGTCATTTTATAGCCCGTCGGCCTGTTTCTTGTTTTTGTGTTTGTTTTTGTTTTTGTTTTCGTTTTTGTTTTCGTTTTCGTTTTTGTTTTTGTTTTTTCTCGACGTTGTAGTGGCTGGCCCTGCCAGCCAGGCAGGGCGAATATCACGGGGTGGCACGTAACTGTCTCAACGCTGTAGCATCCTGTATCCGCCCTCAATAACAGCACAAGGGAGCTTTTTTTTTTTTTTTTTTT